GATAAACACATACCTCGCACTCCGGCTCTCTCCACACTGCAGCGGGAAGGAAGCCAGAACAGGAAGTATGAGACAGTATGGAGAGGGACGGGTGGGCTTGGGTGCTGTTTGCGTAGGCCATGGCTCTTCCAGGCCCACCTGTGGCTATGTCCCTGCTTTGAGATTTTTCAACATGGAAGTGCTATAAAAACACAAGCTCTGTTTAAGATTTTGAAATCTCTTTAAACTGCCCTGTGCTCCTCAGAACATCTGCTTCACAATATTACTCTAGATCGTATGATTGTCATTCCTTATCCCAGATGTGAACCAGGCTCATTTACCCCCAACTCAGTTGCACATCCTGCACTGTGAAGCGCTTTGAAATGTAAGATTGAGGACGATGATGATCTTAGTCAAGTGAAAGCCCAGTGGGAAAGCCAATAGAAAACCACAGTTTTGAAATGTCTCATCATCAACAACTTGTATTTATATAGTGCCCCTCATGCAGGGTAGCATCCCAGAGCATCCGTCTGTGTTCACACAAATGTAAGTCAGAAACACTATTACAAATAATACTGAACCAGAGAATGTATGCTTAAAGTTAAAAGTATTTTTATTCTCCATTTCAAGAAAGTATAGGCGATGCTGTTAGAGAAAAATATGGCATAGCGTCATGTTCATTTATGATATAACAAGCTAAAATGTAAAGAAGTAATATGAAATGGTTCCAAATACTATAATGATGCATGATGTAAACATGAATTGAGGGAATAAGAGCTCTTTGTACAGTGTCACTCAAGGTGTAATGTATATAATAATAATAATGCTCGCATTCGATATAGGATCTTATCACTTCTTTGACACGTCTCAAAGCACTTCACAGAAAATATTGTAAAGTGAATTGACTGTATATTTTGTGGTCGAAATGCAGCAGCCAATTGTGCACAGCAGTGGTGGATTGAGTGACCTACTTACTGTTAGGTAAACAGAGGCTTGTGGAGTAAGGAAACTTTCCTAAGGTTTCACCCTGCCTGGGAATCGAATCCAGGTCCTCTCGATTGTGAGGAGAGTGCTCTAAACAATACACTACATGACTCTACGTAAATTGTATGATATCCAACTTACCATTCGTTCTGACTTTATTAATGTGCGTGGGAATGTGACAGTGTGTTGCATATAATACCTGTTTAGATAGATCCATCTGCTACCCATTATTGCTTTTACTTAAGCAGCTTTTGTGCACATAAAAGAGGGAGAGGGAGTGATATAACAATATGATGAAAATCCTGAACAATAGGTCAGACAATGAAAAGAAGCAATTTTACTGAGACACAACAGGAGTAGCAAGAATTTGTCATACACTGCAGATATATTTTTGTAAATCAGAACAGTAATAAACAGCATTCACCTGCCAATAAGGGGTCAGATTCTTGGCTTCATGGAATTGTTTTAACCACAGTTACCAAAATAGTAAAACACAACAGTTTTCCCAGGACATTGGAAAATAAAGAATCTTTGTGCCCAGCAAAGATCAGAAAGCCCTGCTGATGACAGCACTCCAAGCCTGGCTCATCTGCAGGACTCAGAAGGGCAGACCAAACATTGGGGCCAGGAAATCATCCCACTCACCTCCTGTTAACCCTGCAAGCCAAAGCCCTAACTGCTGGTAGCTTGATCCAAGCTGGACAAGCCGCAGGAAAGCTTGCCAGACAGCAATATCAACAGCAAGCTATGTGGTTTTAACTGGTTAGACTCCAGATGGACCCCAGTGCACACTCTGGGATCCCCAAGCCTGGCTCTTACCAACCTGTACCTAAATACTTTCCGGAATTAGGTAAGCAGGATGCATCCCTCCAGGGAGAATACACATTCCATTCCAACAATTTGTCTCAGGGATTTCCATGTGTAGGTGGGATGCATGGAATTCTCAGTTTGGTTTGGATCCTCGTAAGCATGGTGATGGGTTTTTGCATGTGTCAGACACCCGGCTGACCCCAAAAAAGCGAAGTTCAGAATTCATATTCTCCCCAAGCGAGGCCTGAGAATAGAGAATGATGATTCTATCATCAAGGCGGATGTGGATGCACTACAGCCTCGTCTAGTGGACAGAACTGCAGCACAGGTCAAAAAGAAGTGACAGCATTTCTCAAGAGTTCTGTAGCTGTGGCGCAATAATAGAAACATGTGTTGTTCAGAGACAGCAGCCTGAATAATAATTGCCTGCAAGCGTGAATAACACAGCATTAGCAGGGCTCTCTCTGAGAGTTGGAGGCCACCATGTCATAGAATTTACACCCCTTTAAACAACAGCCTGAACACACTAATTATAAAATGTTTGGCACAGCGCAATTTTCTCCTGCCAAACTATTTCTAACGAAATGTGTGCTGGATAATAATTACTGGAGTTGGGTGAGATTCCTGAAGATGATGATGATGGGGAAAAGCAGGACTTAACGTATGCTTTAAACGTTTGCACAAACTCCCAGGCTGTTATTAAAAAGAGAAAAGCAATGATGTTTCTTGGCCTATTGCTGGTAAAATGTGTGGTGATTTTGCATTGGAGTGATCAGAATTGTCAGGTGCTTTGGGAGGACATTAACTTCCTGTGGAACCTTGCCAGTGGAGAGAACGACATTTAAATATAAATATATAGAGAAATTAGCAGCAAATGACGAAGTATTTGATATAAGTCTGCCAAACAAGAGCTGAGCTGGTATAGAATTATACAATCATATACCCCTACAGCACAGAAGGAGGCCATTCAGCTCATCGTGCCTGTGCCAGCTCTTTGAAAGAGCTTTCCAGTTAGTCCCGCTCACCCGCTCTTCTCCATTACTTTGCATTTTTTTTCTTTTCTGGTATCTATCCAATTCCCTTTTGAACGTTATTATTGAATCTGCTTCTACCACCCTTTCAGACAGTGCATTCCAGACCGTAATATTTCTCCTCATCTCCACTCTGGTTCTTTTGCCAATCATCTTAAATCTGTGTCCTCTTTTTACCGATCCACCCACCAGTGGAAAGTTTCTCCTTATTTAGTCTTATCAAAACCTCTCATAATTTTGAACACCTCTACTAAATCTCCCTTTAACCTTCTCTGCTATAAGGAAAACAATCCCAGCTTCTCTAGTCTCACCACATAACTGAAGTCCCTCATCCCTGGTATAATTCTGGTAAATTTCCTTTTTACCCTCCCCATAGCTTTGGTATCCTTCCTATTATGTGGCGCCCAGAATTGGACACAATACTCCAGCTGAGGGCTAACCAGTGACTTATTTTTTCAAGAGTTAATTGGTATATTAAAAATAGACACCAATTCCACTATATCCTCAATGGTCCATTGGTGTACCCTGGCCAGTTGCTTTCTATGGACAAAAACTGTGATCCCATGAAGCAGTTGTCTGACTTTGTCATATAACCTTGATTCCTAACCAGACATATAATAGAATGCTCTACAAACCAAGTAACTCATTGAAAATGTCATATTTTATATCTCCTCCAGTTTTGTGCTCACAGTTAAAATTAACCTTGCCTTGCATTTATATTACCCATACCTCACTGCCAATCTTTTCTCCAATGAAGATATTTCCACTAAAACAAAAAGGTTAGGTCATGGAATCACCACATGCTTTTCTCTTAACTCTATCCAATGCATCAATTGCTATTTTGAAGGCAGGATGTCTAAAACTGCACAATGGGGTAACTTTTGTGATGATTATCACATTGAATGAGCTTGAGATGAAACACATTCCCCTCCCCTCCAGATCATTCTCAATCGTGAAGTTGGAGTAGGTAGGTCAGTGGAATCACATTTGAAACCTTAGACTTTTCAGGATGTTCTTTGGGCAAAATGTCTAGGATGACATCAAGCTGGAAAACCACTTTATGACACAATATTAACTTGGTCAAGACATGAAATTACACAAGATCATAAGATTAGTTTGGATGAAGAAGGCCCTTTGGCCCATCCAATCTCATCCCTCCGGAATATCCACCCTACAATCCTTTCATCACAGCATCAAGCTACCATTTAAATCAGTGCAGTATCCTGACAGCCTGGTGCTGTCTCTGGTGTTGGTGTCTCTGGTGGTGCTGTCTCACCGATGTTCGGTCGGCTTGTCTGGCAGACATCAGGGCCTGGATAAGCACAAATTTCTTGTGACTAAATGTTAACAAGACGGATGGCGTACTCTTTGGGTCTCGTCAAAGTCTTCTGTCCTGTGGCACGGACCTCCTCAACCTCCCCGGCCCATCCCTCAGACTCACCAAACCATCCTTCCTTCCCCACATCCCCTCCCTGACCGGTCCGCCTTCCTCCACCTTCGTTACATTGCCCAACTATTATGGCCATACATTATCCCAACGCAGCCGAAGCACTCGTCCATCCGTTCGCCACCTCCCACCTCGGCTATTCGAACGTCCTCTTTGCCAGTCTCTCCAGCTCCAATATCCACAAAATCCAACTAATCCCAAACTCCGCCGTTTGCCCACTCGCCCATTAAACTCCGCGCCCCCGGGACGGCAGTCCTCGCCGGGCTCCACCGCCCCCCCCTCCCCCCGTCACTGAATGGATCAATTTCAAAATTCTCGCACTCGTCTTCAAATCCTTTCAAATGCCCCGACACCCGACCTACATCTCCGACTTACCCCACAACCGGGAACCCCGCAACCCCGCAACCCGCTGCCGCTGCCCACCCGGCCCCGGCCCCGGCCCCGGCCTCCCGCTTGTCCCTCGCGCCCTCTGCTCCACCATCGGTGGCCGCGCTTTCGGCCACTCCGCCCCGAAACCCAGGAGCTCCTTCCCTCGGCCCCTCGGACTTGCCCCTTCCTTCCCCGGCGTCAGGTGGTGCCCGAAGACCGTCCCCCTTCGACCGGTCGCCTCCCGGCGTCGCGCTCCGCCACCGGACAGCGCTCCGAGGCGCTGCCCCCACCCCCCCGCGTTGTGAGGAGCGCCGCCGACGGCAACAACTTGCCTTTGTACAGCGAGCGCCCCCTCCTGGCGGGTGGGGGGGGGGAGAGAGGAGCGCCCCGGAGCGCTCCACAGGGGCAGAGGATAAGGGCAAGTTGTCGTCGCTGTGGTAGCGGCTGATGGTGCAGTGGGGGCCGTCCCCGCTGTTGGGAGTCTCGGCTGTTGGGAGTCTCGGCTGTTGGGAGTCTCGGCTGCGGGACCTGTCTGGCGGAGGGGCCGCGGGGCTGTCGGCGGGAGGTCCCCGCGCGGCGGCTCTTGCGGTATCGGCCTCTTTGTCAGGTAAGAGCCGCGCTCTGTCCCCGCCTCCTCTCCCGGGGCCCGGCACAGGCCTCTCCGCCGCCGCCTGGGCCCTGGGCCCCTGTGCTCGGCCAGTGAGCGGCGACCTGCGGCTCAGCCAGAACCCCCCCCCCCCCCGCACCTCCCCTCCCCCCGGGGGGAGGCTCCCTGCCGCCGGGCCGCACAGCCCAGCACAGCCCGAGGCCCGAGACCCAAACCCCGTGGGGGGGGATGGGGGGAGGGGTGGGGGGAGGGGATGGGGGGTGGGGGGAGGGGGGGAGGGGATGGGGGAGTGGGGGGAGGGGATGGGGGGTGGGGGGGGGGGGAGGGGATGGGGGGGACAAGAGCGACCCCGGAACCGCAGGTCCAAACAACAACAACAACAACTTGCACTTATCTCGGGCCCTTCGCGAGGGGCCGCGGCCCCGGGAGCGCGTGACGGTGGAGGGGTCTGACCGCCGCCGTGGGTGGGGGGGGGCCCGGGGGGAGGGGCGAGTGGGGGGGAGTTCCAGAGTTTGGGGGCGCAGCGGCGGCTGAGGGTGGAGCCGGAGGGGACGCGGTGCGGGCGGGAGGGAGGGAGGCCGGAGCCGGCCGAGCGGAGGCAGCGGGCGGTTGGGGCGGAGGGATGGCCCTGTACGGGTGACCGGGGATCACGCAGCGGTCAGGGAGTTGGGCTACTGCCGGTTGTTCGGGTGTTTTGATCAGTTCGGGGGGTGGGGGTGGGGGTGGGGGTGGGGGGGCGTCTGATCCCTGGAGGGACGCGGTTTGCTGACCTAATTCTGGAGAGTCTTAGGCACAGGTTGGTGAGGGCCGTCATTTTGGGGGCACTGTTGAACTTCAACCAGAATAGCCCCCACTGAGAGCAGCAACAACAACAACAACAAGATTGCATTTATGGAGCGCCTTTCAGGTCGGGAGGACGTCCCGAGGCGCTGGACAGTTGGACCGGGACCCGAGCATTGGGGGGAAATGGTCAGGGGGAGGGAAGGGAAGGGAGGGAGGGAGCGAGGGAGGGAGGAGGGGGTAGAGAGTCGAGAGGGGAGCTGAAGGCACGGTCGATGAGAAATTGAAGAGAGCACTATCCGGCAAACTTCCTACTTACTTCTTGTCCAGCTTGGACCATCGACCCCGCAGGGCTTGTGGAGTTAAGAGGAGGCGAATGGCAAAAATTGCCGCCTCTCCAAGGAGCCAGACTGGCTTGACAGCAGCGTCCTGGAGTACCGCACACCTGCCGGACCCCTGAGACTACCACAGAGGGTTGATTCGAATCTGACGGTCCTGTTGCCGAGCAGGTCACCTTGGAGCAAGCTCAGGTCTCACCTCCAAGGGCGGACTTGCCTTCTGCTTTCTTTCCCCCTTTCTTTTTCCCCCTTCTCTTCTCTTCCTTTGATCTCAGTTATTTACAAACAAGGGCAGTATGGTATATTTTATGTGGTGTGAATAAAATTCTGTGGAATTTTGCTCGTATCACTTTGTGGACTGAGCAACACTTCCCTGGATTACAAGACGGATGTTTTAGAAGGACTTTTGGGTTAAACAAATAAATGCGCATTCATATAGGGTAGAAAGGTAAGACTAAAAAGAATAACCTACTCTCCTGTTGGCCACAGTTCAAGAATTGTCTCCTCTTCTGCTTCGGCAGCAATGTCAGAGGGAAAATGACTTGTCAGGATGAACATTTGTTGTATCATTTGAAAGCATCTTTTTAACCTAGTATTAATTATTCATGCGCTGTCCAGGCAACAGGTCAAGTTACAGGGGTCTGGAAATGCATAATTATAGGTTCTGTATTCTGTACACACGGGAAATCTGCTTACCTTAGTCAGAGCTGTGTCAATGCAGTATATTGAACCAGAAAACTTTAAGGTTTCTTTTTTGAAACGTTCCTGTGATTCATTGTAACTTTTTTTGAACTCAAAAGACATGTCATTTTAGGCACTTAAGAACTGGAACACTATTATAAGATGCATAGGCGGTGATAAGGTGCTATACCAATTGCATTTGATGTAGTGCTTTTCACGTCTTCCAGACATCTCAAAGCGCTTCACAGAATAGACGGTAAAGTGAATTGACTGTATATTTGTGGGCGAAACTCGGCAGCCAATTGCGCAAAGCAGTGTCCCACAAACAGTCGTGGTTTGAAATGACCAATTTATTATTGTTTTATTTTCTTGAGGGATTATTACTAGGCGTGTGGAGTAAGGAAACTTGCCCAAGGTTTCACCCTGCTGGGAATCGAACCCAGGTCTCTCGCTTGCAAAGTGAGTGCTCTAACCACTGAGATACAGGACTCCACAGATGATTATTATTATTGTTCATTTGTATATTAGGTGCTTTGTAATCCTTACTAAAATTGGAACTTTTGAAGTCAATGTGCATTGATAATCCATATGATGCATTCTACAAACTGCAAAAAAATAAAATTGGTCACTTCAATCCACGACTGTTTGTGGGACACTGCTCTTTGCACAAATGGCTGCCGTGTTTGGCCAACAAATGTACAGTCAATTTACTTTACAGTATATTCTGTGAAGCGCTTTGAGACGTCTAGAAGATGTGAAAAGCATATCACATGCAAGGATTATTATTATTGACCACATCAACTCTTATTATGGTTTAATAATAATAATAATAGTTGCATTTATCACGTCGTTGAGACGTCTGAAAGCACATCACAGAATATACTGTAAAGTGAATTGACTGTATTTTAAATGATCTAATATCATCAGAGTGGTTCAATGACTGCTCATTTGAGGTATTATTGCTGTAAATCTGTTCCATGGTGTGTCTGAAGAGCTTCCTCCCTCCATATTCTGTTTTAATGGAAAGACAGCAAATTAAATTTTCAATGATGTGTTGGCATAAGAACTCATCGTATCTAATGAAGGGGTAGAAATTGAAGTAAGGTTTGAACAAATGAGTCTAACTAATTTCAAAATTATAATCGAGTGAAATTTAATTGGCTGATTATCTTGTCACCATGGATTCGCCTGGTATAATACTACAGGTAGTTTGTACATTTATTGTTTGAAATTCTCTTCCATAGACAGAAAGACTGCTGACTGGTGGATTTACTACTGTATTTCATTTATTAGCTGACAAATTCAAAAATAATTCTTGCATTTGATTTTATGCCTTATTGCATTGTCAAGATTGTCTCAAAGTGTTTTACAGGGTTTACATTAAAGTGAGTGGTTGCGTATTTGTAGGCGACACAACATGGTCAGACCGATAGGAAAGTAGTGAATAGACCAATTTGAGGGGATTATTGGCCAGGACATAGTAGAAACTCCCTCCCCTTTTTAAATAGACCATGGGATCTTTAATGTTCACCTGAACCTCTATTTAATGTGTGGATTGCCTGGAAACAGTCATTTAAACCAAGGTGATTTCACCCAGCTCCTGAACCATTTCCAATGCTGGGCTGCCTGCCCGCTCCCTTTTGCAGATAGTTGGTGTACAAATACATGGTGTTCTACAGCATACTTTTAGTCAGGAAAACTGAATTGAGACAAGACATATGGCACGGAAACAGGCCCAACTAGTACTTACCAGTGTTTATACTCCACATAAGTTTCCACACTCTCTCCCCAATATCCTCTGCAGTAATGCTTAAACTAACCTCCATCTCACAGAATTGAGAAGACACAAATTTGAAATATGGATAAGATCCCCTGGTGGGATATGAGCAGAACAAAGTACTCAACACTGTACAACATACTTTATAATCCATCTGTTTTATTCTCATTGAATTTTGTAGTGATATTTGTGAACTGGATTTTTATTCCATGATTATGGTGCTAAATCTTCTGTTAACATTGCTATATTGGGCTTTGCCAGATAAATGTATTAACCTGTGTAAAGTCGAGTATGTCCAGTTCCATTTTAGTTCCCCGGGTAGCCCTTTAGAGTAGTAATTTACATAATACCTGTAGAAAATTCCATTTGGAGACCACTCCAATCTCAAATCTCTAACAAAGTATAATCCATTTTCTGTATGTTTTATGCTGTAGGACATATTAATACATCTTTGAATAGTACTGTAATAATCTAATTTGTTAGTTACTCTGAAATATTTTCCCTGCTGTGGTCAAATAGCTTGGGAAAATACATGCCAAAGCTCACAGCTGAATGGCAGCTATTTGAGTGAGATGCCCAAAAGCATCAATTGATCGTGCCCCAATTGATGGTAAAAAGAGTCCAAACTGTTTGGGAAGAACAGTGTGGGATTGGAGAGGAACTCCTTTTCTGGCACAATTGTTCAAATCCTATTCGTCGCAGGTACTGAACCCTACAGGTGAATGTTGTTCATTTTAATGAACAGGCCTTTCTGTTTGTGTTGTGTTGGCCTTTCTGTTTGTGTTGGCAAGAAACAGAAAGCCAAAACATTGATTTGGTATCTTTAACCTGGATCCTATAGGGAAACTGTTATAGTGAAGGGTGTTATTTGCATGCCTCTTGTCATCTGGAATTAGGATAGTTTAGTCCTTCCAAAGCTTGCCTGTATTTCTAACTAATCCAAGTGTGTATATTTTATGTATTAAGTTTCATGACTGGCTTAGAGCAGTCACTCCTCAAGTGAGAGGACCTGGGTTCAATTCCCGGAATTGGGCAAGTTTCCTAACTCCACTTTCCTAACTCCACACACCTCTGTTTTCCGAGCAGTAAGTAGGAACCCAGTTGTTAGTTGATTGGCGGATCACTTTTCCAGGGGTAGTGATTCCCTTCAATAAAAAATAATAATAATTTGGTCACTCAACCCACGACAATTTGTGGGACACTGCTGTGCGCCATTGGCTGCCGCGGTTCACCCACAAAATATACCATCAATTCAGTTTACAGTATATTCTGTGAAGCTTTGAGATGTCTTGAAGACATGATAAGGCACTATATCAAATGCAAGGATTATTATTATTTGTGTTCACCTGTCAATACAATGACTAACCTCAATTACTGTGAGGCACTTTGAGATGTTTTTACATAAAGTGCTATATCAAGTTACATATAATTTGAGCAGTAAAACTTGATGGTTTTTTTGAACAGTTTATAATGGTAAACCCATTATCTTTTACACCTTAATCCTCCATTTTGCCCACAAATATACAGTCAATTCACTTTGCAGCATATTCTGTGAAGTGCTTTAAGACATCTAGAAGATGTGAAGAGCGCTATATCAAATGCAAGGATTATTATTATTGTTATTCCAACAATCTATCTCTGGAACTTCCATTTGCAGGTGGGATGCATGGAATTCTAAGTTTGGTTTGGATACTCTTAAGCATGGTGATAGATTTCCACTTGGGTCAGACACCTGGCTGAACCAAAACAAATTATCCCTTACAAGGGTCTTTAGGGCCTCTGTTGAAAAAGTATATGGGCATTTTACTAACTGGTTTGGGATCAAATTTCCATAAAATCTTGATGTTTGTTAAACTTGGGGAAATGTGGCACACTTAATGCTTTATGCCATGTTTTGCCCACAAAATATACAGTCAATTCACTTTACAGTATATTTTGTAAAGCGCCTTGAGACGTCTCGAAGACGAGGATTATCAAATGCGAGGATTATTATTGTATTCTGTGAAGTGCTTTGAGACTTTCGAAGACATGATAAGGCGCATATCAAATGCATGGATTATTATGTTTAAAACGCACAAACTCAATTCAAAGATTTAATTTTATAAACCTATGGGCACAGCGGATGTATAGCTTCAGCACTTGTATTCATTCCTTTTCTATAGACAAAACCTAAGAATTGCTTGATGAAAGAAGAGCAAGGTCCATCCAGTTCGCTTTCCACCATTCTGGCAGTCGCATGTACATGTCATATCCCAAACTAAATACTGTATCCTGAGATATTCATATTAAAAACAAAATCAGCATATACAGTACTGTGGCGGATATGCAGCATTACAGATTTAAGCTCTGGTCATGTCTCATCTGGTAACAAGGTGCTTACAGCGCCGTTGAAAGAGACCCTTTGCAAAACTGAAGCCTGCCACCTTTAGGTTGAACCATGAAGCAGCAAAGCCACAAAGAAACAAAAAGCCACACAAAGCCTCCCAGTTCAAAGATGCCATTAATTCACAAGCCAGTTGGTAGCATTTGGCCACAATAACTTTTTTTTTGTGTGTCCGTGTCTTTCAGAATGGCTGCACACTGGTTAAGGAACATTGCTTTCCAGGCCCTGCGAAACGAAGCTGGTTCCACGGGTTGGTACCTTTGTACTGCAGCTGCAAGGCGTTTTAGTACTCTGTCGGTACAAGCCATGCTGAAAATCACAATACCCCAATCCAGGTGCAATGTTCCCTGTTGGAAAGCAGCCCCCTGGGTCATGCCCCAAAAAACGTTTGGAACAGCTGGTGGGACTGAGACCGAGGTCCCGAAGGAGAAAAAGAACCCGCGAGCGAGAAAAACAATAGGGAACATTGGCAGAAAAATCCATCATCGCATCATTCAGGTGATAGACGAAACTGGGATAAACCTGGGAAATCTGCACAGAGCGGATGCCATTCGCCTCCTTGATGAACGTGGAGTCAGGATAGTAACAATCAATGAGAATGCAGACCCCCCGCTATATAAACTCATGACAGGAAAACAGATCCACGAGGCACAAATGAAACTCCGAGAAAAGCAAAAGGAGAATCCTAAAAGTAGTAAGTACAGTTGGAAGAACTTTACTGGGAAGTTTTGTAAATCTCAGTTTTCAACAAAACTTTAAAAATAATGGAGTAATTTTAACTTTGGGGACTGATTCTTTAAAATGCATATACAGGGTGACGTGATACCAATTCGTGATACCATTACAATGTCTAATAAGTCTTAAAGAAACTGATAAAGTTTTTAGATAACAGGGTAGATATCACAACTTTTTGGTGCACCTGTAGTTGTGTCTTGGTGCTAAATCCTTAACTTCAATGAAAGAATACTTTGGCAGGATATGTATGTGCATTCTATTGATGGACATAGTGATGAAGGCTGTCTTAATGTGGGCTGATAAATTAACTGCAACATTTTTTGAATTGCAGTCATGCTCTCAGACTTGCAGGGTGCTTGATGGACCTTTATTTTCTAGTGCTCAAATGCAGCCAGCTTATAGATGCCTCCAATCTCAGGACTAGGGATAGAGATAGCCTCTTGCCTTAAAATGATGGGAGAGTTGTGTGGAATAAAATGGAACACTACGTTCTCATTTGTTTTAAGGTGTTGTCCTTACTGAGGAAGTCATGGTTAAATTTGAAATGGAGGGGAAAAGTCTACATGTACCAAAATAATGCCAGGGATGAAGGACTTCTCCATGGTGAGAGAATAAAAGGCTGTGATTGTTCTCCTTGGAATAGAAAAGGTTAAGTGGAGATTTAATAGATAGAGTAAGTAGGAAGAAACTGTTTCCTCTGGTAGGTGGATCGGTAACCAGAGGCCATAGATTTAAGCTAATTGACAAAAGAACCAGAGGGAAGACGAGAATTGTTTTTTACCCAGTTCGTACAATCTGGAATGCACTGGGGTGGAAGCAGATTTGATAGTAACTTTCAAAAGGGAATTGGATAGGTACTTGAAAAGGAAAAATTTAGAGAGCTATGGGAGTCGGACTACTTGGATAACTCTCAAAGAGCCGGCACAGGTACAATGGGCCAAATGGCCTCCTGTGCTGTAAGATTCTATGATTTTATATTTGTAAAGGATGATAGATTTAAAACATACCAAACACTGTTTTTGCTCTTTTGTAACGCAGCTGCTACCCAAATGAAGGAGCAGACCTTCTCCGCAGACATTGCAAAGCACGATCTGCAAACAAAGGTGAAGCAGATCCAGCAGTGGATTGAGAAAAAGCACCATGTTCGGATCACCGTGAAGAAAGGAAATGCTCTGCACACGATAGAGAAAATGGTACCATTTTATCATCTTGTTTAATAAAGTCCAGCCCATGTAAACAAATTACAATTTTAGGCTCTTTATCAAAAGGTCAGATTAGCTTTACATTGCCTGACCTGAAGTAGAATAGAAATTTACATTTATGTAGGGCATTTCACGGCAGAAGAACATCCCAAAGCACTCAATAGTACTGGCTAAATAGCCAAGTTGGTGCAGAACTTAAATATTTAGTGCAGAATCAGTGTCAGATAAGAATGAGAAGCCATGCAATGTTAGCAAAGAGTGTACAGCAATACCAGTATCATAGCTATTGGGTTCCATTTTGGCATTCTTGGCACAGAAATTAGTTAATAGCAGACAAATTATCATGTTGTGATTTGTAAAAATCTTAAATCCTTTTCTCCATATCCTTTACCTCCTAAGTACATACAGGCCACCGTTTTAAACACCCCAATTGACTGCATTTGTATCTGAGGTACTACATTTCCACATTCTCACAACCCTTTGAATATTTTTTGGCACATTTCTAAGCTATTTTGCCATTTAGTTCCAGACGATAGTAATTCTTGTATTTACCGTCTCATCCGAAGTACAGTTCATTCAATGCAACACACATCAGCACTGCATTGGAATATCATCTTAGATTATGAATTCCAAGTCCTGACATGGGGCTTGAACCTGCAACCTTTTGGCTCAGAAGCAAGATTGCTACCAACTGAGCCAGACTTACACCTGGCAGCTAAAGGGTTCTCTCTTACGTGTGACAAGTACAATGTATGCAAACTTCATCCTGAAATGCATTCATTTAGCATTTGATAAGGTGTCCCAAAGCAAAAGATACATATTTTTTTAAAATCCAAATGTGTATTAGTACGTTGCTTGAAAGAAGTTTTCTGCAACCTTTAAACTGGTGTACAATATTCCTTCAATATCTTGGTGCAATGTTGGGATTAAAAGATCTACCAAGATCTAAAACTGGCTGAACAGGCATGATGACCTCCTCCTATTCATGTGTTCTTATGACAAGAACAAAACACTAGGCCAAGCTTCAGTTACTTGTCTTTTCTGGACATAGCATCAGTGTAGATCTCAATCCATCAGCAACTGAAGAGCTCAATCATCTTCTCACAAATCATTAGTGAATTTTAGTTTTAATTATACTAAATTGTACTAAATATTTTAATTGTACTAAATATTCAGGTACCAAAATATTACATTAAGTGGATTGTGTTTATGTTAATTATTGAAATGTGACTAATTTAGGATAGTTTCTGGTATATGCATTTACTTATAAAATTATGCCTAACCATCAAAGTATTCATGTTTGAAATATTGACTTAATGCTTGGACTAGATGGTCAAGCTTTTTTCAAATGTATTAATCTTTTGTTGAAGGAGGAGCTGTTGGATTACATTATTAAGTCTATGCCTGACAAAGCTACCTATGTGTCAAGACCAAAGGCTGTGAGAGAAGGGAAAGCAGTTATGAGTGTTCTACGGCATCTGTCTGAAAAAGAACTGAACGAGTACAAGCAACAACAAAAAGCACACAATGAAGCAGAAAAGCTGCCTAAAGGAGCATCCCCTGAAACTGTAACAGAAGAGCCACAAACAGTGGTTGTAAAGTAAATGTTTTATTTCAAAAATAAATTGTCAAAGCTTTGTCTTTTTGAAATAATTTAACAAATAACTTCTGAATACCACTAGCAATGTGAAGCCCAACTATTGTTTTCAACAACATCAAATTACATTTGTATAGCGCCTTTCCCATCAGGAAACGTCCCAAGGCGCTGGTTTTAATCGGTCAATATTGTCTCAGTCACTGCAGTTTTCATGTTTGCTTCCGATAATATTTTGGATTTCTCGAGCATTTCAATCAGAGCCCTGGACTCAGTGGCCAACTGCTTCTTGGGAGGAAGATATCCAGAAAGACGAGAGGCAAGGCTTCGTTTAGGACGAGATCGTTTTTCCTGTAGGAAACAAAGTCACATTACTCCAGCTAAAGCTGCTGTGTTACTAACAACCTTAGTAATAATTACTCTGGTATATTTTTGGTACCAACTAAATGATGGTCTTGCAAAAAGTGGCAAGTGTATATAACTAAATATTAAGACTAGAGAAGAATTTTAAGAGTTTTTAAGCACACATGTTAATTATAATAGGAAAAGTAAAGTCCAATTACACAAAGTGTGGCCAATTGAGCTAGGTGCAAGTTATTTCTGGATCAGATGTTGTGGGTTAAGTCGGTTTGGGTTGATGCTCCAGTGGGATACTGGGACACCACCTCATTACCAGAAGTGCCATCTTTCAGACAAAACCAAGGTCTCCTGCCTGGGCAGGTGAATGTTAAACACCTATTGCAACTACTGCAAAAGAATTTATAATAATAATAATCCTTGCATTTGATATAGCGCTTTTCACGCCTTCTTGATATCTCAAAGCGCTCCACAGAATAGACTGTAAAGTGAATTGACCATATATATTTTATGGCATTTCTCCTAGGGCCCTGACTAACAATCCTCCAGATACAGATATGCTGGGTCTACAAACACATTCTTTCATTCAAATTGTAACTTGTCGTAATTGATCCCATAAGACACTTTCTGTGTTACCTAGATAAAAGTGAAGTTAGTCTATTGATCACCATTAGCTCTTCCACAACCACTTTGTGGCGTCAATCTATCTCTGGCACAATGAAGATTTTTATAAAAATAGTATTCTCCCCAACCTATTTAAGGTGATTGTAGGGATCTGAGGATTATCACTGCATTCCCAATCATGCTACACTTGTAATTGTATACCGTCACTTAAGATGGTCACTATAATAATTAATCATGATTAATACTTGTTAGATACTTCCACTAACACATTTTTATATAAAACTTCAATCCTGGTTTAAAAGAGGTACCTTCAATTTCGGTTTTTCAGGATCGTGAGTAACAGTATGGCGTTCCAGGCTTTGCTGAAACACAAACACACATTTAAACATTCTATAGCTCCGGTACAACTGAAGCACCCTTGCTAAATGGGCAGCATTTATTCCACTTGATATAATCATATTCAAAAGGGCAGTTTGTCTATAACAGCCTTAACATGTGAATTTGGTCAGCGTGATAGGCTATAAATTTACACCAAATACATGTCAAAATCTGTTCTACGTTCTGCAGTGAACCATATCTCTTAAATGTACTTAAGAGTTTGATCTATGCTTTTAAAATGTTATCAGGTTAAATGTACAATATTCATATTTAATTTTTTAGCAGGTTGGTATAGATGATTATTTTTGTGCTTTTAATTGTTTTGTTAGCAGATTAAAGGGATAGTATTTATATTTAAAATGGACAGAACAGAAACACAAATATCTCTAAAATATGAAATATCCCTAAAAAATCACTTAAACATGGAATCTGTCAAGTCAGTGAGTGATCAGAGGCAGGTAGATGTTTCCAATGTGCTCCCAATAAAAAGGCTTAAACTGGATCTAATCTTGTCAACTAAATAGAAAATCAATAATTACTTTCATTGCAAAGCTCTTTGAACAGCCAGGATGTTGACATGCAAAGGGTTTTCGTCTCTCATGGTGGGAGAGGATGTGGCTTTGCAGATTGAACGAAGTTGTGTAAGTTCTTGTGCAGCTGTCTCTTGGACATCGGAAGACCGTCCTTTCCAGACTGTGAGTTTTTAGATGCTCCTTAAGAAAGCTTCTCCGCTTAAAATTCTTATTGCATTGGTTACAAACAATGTCTTCTAAAGTAAAAAAAAGCATAAAACAGTAAATATGCACCCTTTATCACTCTGCTGCAATAACAATAATGAATCTTACACTTTAACTCTTCACTTGCTTTCGCCAGTCCCCTATTTGTCTTATAGAAACAGCTCAATGAGTCACTGTCACTAGTTAGTTAAAAGAAATGTACTCAAGCAGACTTGAAAGGTGATAGCCAACTGAGCTTTGCCAATTCCCAATTATCAGGAAAAAAATCTTTAATTTCCAACTGAATTATTGGTACTGGTTAACATGCAGTCTTGGAAAACAAATGCTTGTATTTAAATGGCGCCCTTGATGCAGGAGAGTGTCTCGGAGCGATGAAGTCTATAGACTATTGATGGGACCAAGGAATGAAATTTTGTGTTCTGCATTTTTGCGCACGAGAACTGTAGAATCACAATGCACATTGCTGAGGTTACCTTGATGTTGCTCCTGTTTATGCTTTCGTATATCTGTCCAGGTTTTGCCAACAAATGGACAATCTTCCACTTTACATCCATAACCTGTGAGACAAGGTGGTATTTGAATCATATTTTCACATCTGACCCATAATCATTTTACTATTCGGAACTCTGAGGTCCGTGCCCTCTCCCGTTCCAGGCTTTGTAAAGCCCCTTCCTCGCTTGGCTCCATAAGCTCCCCATCCCCCAGCTGATCGAGGTCAAGATCCTTATCCTAACCAAGTCCCTTCATGGTTTCACCCCACCCTACCTCTGTGACCACCTCAAACCCTAACAACCCAGCCTCTCGCTTTGCTCAGTGAGCACCGACCGGACTGCTTCATGTCCCTGCCCTGACCACTTACCATCAACCTTTCTGCCCCCAATCCTTCCGATTCCCTCCCTCACTTTGCTCAAAGTCCATCTCAAGACCGTGCTTTCGGTCATATTTCCCCTCCCCTCACTCTTGGCTCTCACCTCCTGCTTGGGGGCCCAGTACTGGAAGTGGGTTTGAAGGTCATATGTTTCAGTTTTATGATAACGTGGTGTGGTATTTTATGGACCCAAACATTGTGTTAGAACAGTCTTCATTTTTTTTTAAAAAACACGACTAAACTAATTTCTTCAGTCAGTTCACCCAGTGAGGAGTGCACTACTAGAGACCAGATAGTACTGCTTGTTCTGATTAGCCCGAGTGACAAAAATGACAGTAATGGAGAAAACATTTTATAATGATAGGTACAGAAACAAGCCATTTGGCCCAACCAGCAATTCTAACCGCTGATGCAGTTATCTTGGGAAGAAAGGTTGAAACAAACACGAGGACACTCACCCACATGAACCTTCTCGTGACGTTTCAGTTTGCTTGGGAGACAGAAGCGTTTATCGCAGCCCTCATAACTGCACCTGTGAGCAGGATAAAGAAGAACTTGAACTCTTTAACTCACTTGATCTCGTCCTCCCACAATACCTGCCCTATCTTCTTACACCATCAGTACTAAAAAGCTCAGTGTCCTGGGCCTCAAACATCCTTCCTTGTAACTCATTTTAGTTGTTAACCATCTTTCTGTGTAAATAAATACTTTTTGGTGTCAGCTCTAGTATGCCCTCTTGTCTTGCAGTCTTGATGTATCCGCAAGTATTATTCTTTTTCCATTTAGTATCTTATAGCTTTGAAGACTGAAGAGTTGCAGCTTTTTAGGCTTTTTTGGCATTTCTATTAAACAACACCTCCACCTACAAAATACAGTCACTACACTTTACAGTATATTTGGTGAAGCACTTTGAGATATCCTCCCAATGCGCTATATCAAATACAAACATTATTATTATTACAACTACCAAAAAACAAAAATAGAAGTCGCTGGGAACACTCAATAGGTCAGTTTGTACTTTATTGTAAAATAAATGTAGTTAAAAAAACTGGATACGTACTGGAATGGAGGAACATTTGTGTGCTCGTACTGATGTACCTTGAGGTGTTGATGTTTCTTAAATGATCTGCCACATTCTTCAAACTCACACTATAATGGCCAAACAAAAAGTCGTTAATCACTAATGACTCAAATCCAACACTGATGAGAGAAAATGCATGATTCAACTCGTGGAGTCACAACTCTTAATTACATTTAATACACTGAAACAGCTCAAGTTTGAGTTTGCATTCACACTAGCAGCAACTCCCCATAATTAGCATATTGTTCATATACCTAGATACATCCATCAAAATGCAGGAATATCGAATTTCAGAAGCATGGAAACTAACAGCATAAAAGGTCATTCAGCAATCAATCCTAAACTAATACCAGCCCATTCACTGGATCTCACTAGTAACAATAATTTAGCTTGCATTTATACAATACGATTTAAACAGCGCCTTTCACTTCAGAAGGATGTCCCAACGCAGTTTATTACAGCACTTTCACATCCTTTCACATAAAATTGCTCACTCATCCACGACTGTTTGTGGCACACTGCTGTGCAGAATTGGCTGCTGCGATTCACCCACAAAATATACAGTCAATTCACTTTATAGTGTAAAGTGATAAAGCACTATATCAAATGCAAGCATTATTATATTAATATAAAATAATATGAGCGTTTGAGATTGCATCTTATCGCAAGTTTCCTTACTCCACACTCCTAATAATAATCCCTCCAAAAAACCAAAAACAATAATTAAATTGGTCATTTTCAATCTACGACTGTTTGTGGGACATTGCTGTGCGCAATTGGCTGCCGCGTTCGCCCACAAATATACAGTCAATTCACTTTACAGTGTGTTCTGTGAAGCGCTTTGGGACGTCCTCCCGACGTGAAAAGCGCTATATCAAATGCAAGGATTATTATTATTATTGCTGTGCGCAATTGGCTGCCGCGTTCGCCCAAATATACAGTCAATTCACTTTACAGTGTGTTCTGTGAAGCGCTTTGGGACGTCCTCCCGACATGAAAAACGCTATATCAAATGCAAGGATTATTATTATGATTATTATTATTATTATTGGTAACAGGTCTCAAAGCATTTTATAGAATTTTTACTGGAAAGTGTAGTAACTGTCTATTTTATAGGCAAACACAATGGCCAATTTGCGCATAGCAATGTCCCAGGACACCAGGAGAAGCTACTCTTTTCAAATAGTGTCATGGGATTTTTATCATCAACCTGAACAGATTTTCAACATCCACCTGAACCTCAATTTAACATCTCATCCAAAACTGTTTCAACGTCTCTAAAACTATTTTAAAAATATTAAGTTAGAAACAAGAGAAAATAGTCAGATTTTTTTCTCCCCAAAATAGTCTAGTAATATACACTATTGATGCAGATAGCATAACTGGTAGAGAAAGTTTCTGAAGAGAAAACAGATTGAACAATACGATAAGAGGGAAGCTAAGTGACGACAATCAATAATAAAGGCACAGGCTTGCTAATGCACAGACCTAAAGTTCTTGTTCCTAAACTAACATTTTCTTATTCCCATTCCAAATACTAGTGATCAACAATTGATAATTGTCCCCTATGAAGCACAGAATATTCTCATTTGTATTTTGAGACAATAGAATATTTGTACCAAATACTAGACCCATTTGGGATTTTTGACCGAAACACACACGTTACTTCAACATAGAAAAGAGGATCACTTGCCAAGTAAATCCTTCCTCCATTTTCATGCTTTCGTCCAATATGTTTGTTCAAATTGACCTTTGAAACAAAAGTTTCAGTGCACCCTTCTTTTGTGCATCTGCATGAAATGATGAAAAATTAAAAGTGTAACCGACCCCATTTGCAGTGTTCCAACAATATCACAGCAAGCATAAGCAAATACCTCACAATTTAAAAACGCCCCACAATTATATATTTATATTTATTTTGGTGATATTCAGATTTAAGAGAATGGGATATTTCTCATTGAATACAAGAATCATCCCATCCTAGATACAGCACAGGATGAATCAAACTACAATTCCTTCTGTACTAAGCTAAAAGCGTTCTGTATTCAAACAACAAACACAAATTAATGCACGAACAAAAGCACACAAAAACACATGCAAATGTCCACAAAAAAGTTTATCACTCGCCACTACTGAACCCCTTACTTACTTTATGACTTACTTTAAAGGCTTCCCAAAAATGTATGGGATCCAAAATAAAAGCTCATATTTTTTATTTTTAAAAAAAGCATCTTTCAGGATAGATGAATTAAAAAATTTGATTGGGAAAAGAAGGGTGTTTACAAGAACAATAGCTGGCACGTATATAGCACCCTTCACTGTGTAGCATCCCGGAGCGTTTAACAGTGGTGGCGCTCAACACTGAGCCAGAAGAGCATGGAGGTGATTGTTATTACAATCAGAGGAAGATCTTCACATGTGATCTGAAAACAGAACAGGAAGGGGCAAGACAGAGGGATTGAGGCAGAGGAGGGCGGGGGGGGGGAGAAATGGGGAGATAGAAAGCACGGTCGAAGAGGAGGGTCTTGAGGTGAAGCTTGAAGGTGGCGAGGGAGGGGGCGAGACGGAGGGACTGCAGGATGGAGTTCCAGAGGGTGGGTGCAGAGTGTCGGAAGGCCCGCCCGCCGATAGTGGGGTGAGAAAGTGGGGGATGTGAAGTAGGCCGGAGCCCGCTGAGTGGAGGGAGCGAACAGGATGGTAGGGGGTTAGGAGGTCAAAGAGGTGGGGGGAGCAAGACCATGGAGGGCTTTAAAGGTGAGGATCATCTTGAACTGTATCCTCTGTGTGATGGGAAGCCAGTAGAGTTGCTGGGCAAGGATGGGGGTGATAGGGTCGCGGAGCCTTGTGCGGGAGAGGACATGGGCTGCAGAGTTCTGGATGACCTGCAGCCTGTGGAGGGAGGAGTTGGGGAGGCCGACAAGCAGTGTGTTTGCATAGTCGAGCCTCGATGTAATGAAAGCATGTATGATGGTTTCAGCGGCCTGCAGGTGTGAGACAGTATCAGAGCCGGCGTCGTTGTGGAGGTGGGGGAAGGCAGAACGGGTCATGGCGCAGATGTGGGGTAGAAAGAATAGTTGAGTGAAAAAATTTACAAGATGCTGTGAAAAATGACTAAGTGCTGCACTATAATGTACTTGCTTGAATCTTTTTTCTCCACTATGGCTTTGAAGATGTCTTGTAAGGTGATCTTTTCTGGAAAAGCCTTTACTGCAACCCTCATATTCACAAACAAATGGTTTCTGAAAAGAAGCAATATGTGATGTTAAAGTCAAACTTCCACTTAAATCCATCATCTCCAGCTCGTTTCATTTCCTGATAAAAACTTAAAAGTATTTTTTAAATTAGTCCATTCTGCATTGTAATGCTTCCCTACCACTCCCTGTATTAACCTCTCCAATCTTGTTTCCATATAGTCCATAGAACAGAGGCAGCCTTAGTCAAAGTTGCATTCTGTCCACTGACAGGAGCCAAGCAGGAAAGCCTTGGTCTTGTCGACATTCAACTGGAGAAAGTTGGCTCTCATCCAGGACTTGATGTCTGACAAGACAATCTGTCAGGACACCAGTGGTCCTGGAGTCAAAGGTAGAGGCAAAGATAGAGATGGGTGGCATCCTCATAAATGTGGAAGTTAACAATCACGACATTACTTTAAACAAAAACAATAGCAACTTGAATTTAGCTCACAGGCTTGCGTATCAGGCCTACAGTTGATATCACCGAGTGGGAACATGCAAATATTAAAGAGGAGAGAACCCAGGACAGAGCTCTGAGGATCACTGAAAAAATAATAATGCTTGCATTTGGTTTTGCACCCCTCATGTCAGAAGGATATCTCAAAGTGCTTCACAGGATATAGCATAGTGTAGTGACTGCGAATTTTTATAGGCAGACATGGGCAGTCAACTTGTCAATAGCAATGTCCGACAAGCAGTCATGAAGTGAATGACCAATTTTATCTGGGGGGTTGTGGGCTAGAGAACCCAGGACAGAGCTCTTGAGGATCACTGGAAAAATAATAATAATGCTTGCATTTGGTTTTGCAGCCCTGAGCTGGACACTTGCGAGGGCCACAGCTAGAGCAAAGCTGGGCAACACGCTTAGAGCGGTCAGACATAGCACCTCATCACGTTGTCAAGATGTCTCAAAGTGCGCATCATAGAATTTTACTGTTTGCTGCGGTGACTGTGCATTTGCTTCAAGGCATTTCACTGTGAAGCATAGTTACTGTGAATTTGCTTCACACGATTTTATTGTATGAAGCAAATACACGATTTTCAGCGCTCCAGGATCCTACCCTGCATGAAGGGCAGCACAGTATGTAAATACAAGTTGTTGTTTGTGTTTAGTGTAGTGACTGTGTATTTGCTCCGCCTATGGATCTCCATCCCACAGTCAGCTCGCCTCGCTCCCTCCCTCCCTTCTTTCAAGGCACGTCCTCTTCGCTTGTGCGCTCGGTCACCCTCCTACCCCCACGCTCCACTACTCGTGATCCCAACTCGAGTCCAAATCCGTGACTGTCCAGCGCCTCGGGATGTCCTCCGGACGTGAAAGACGCCATACGAATGTAATTCGCTGCTGTTGCGGTTACAGCACTCGCCTCGCGAACGAGAGACCCGGGTTCGATTCCCGGCAGAGTGAGTTTCCTCACTCCGCACTCCTGCGTTCTCCCAGCAGTAACTAGGAACACGGTTGTTTTTCCGGGGGGAGGGGAGGTGGGGGGGGAGAATAATCCCTTCAAAAATAAATTGGGTCGTTTCAATCCACGGCTGTTTGTGGGGACCTGCTGTGTGCAACCAACCGGCTGCCGCCTTCCGCCCACAAAATATACAGTCGCTGTACTTTACGGCGTAGTCTGTGAAGCGCTTTTGAGAGGTCTCGAAGACGGGATAAGGCGCTGTATCAAATGCGGGGATTATTATTGTTAATAATAATTATTATTAATAATAATTGTTATTAATTACTGTGATTATTGTGAGCGGTGCTGCCCCGGTGTGGGGGCCCTGTGGTGTGGGGCCCTGTGGTGTGGTGTGGGCCTGTGGTGTGTGGGGGGGGGGGCCCTGTGTGGGGGGGGGGGGGCTGTGGTGTGTGGGGGGGGCTGTGGTGTGGGGGGGCCCTGTGTGGGGGGGTGGGGGGCTGTGTGAGGAGGGGCCTACCTGGCCTGTGTGTGTGTGTGTGGGGGGAGGGGCCTACCTGGCCTGTGTGTGTGTGGGGGGGGGGGGGGGCCTACCTGGCCTGTGTGTGTGTGTGTGTGGGGGGGCCTACCTGGCCTGTGTGTGTGTGGGGGGGGGGGCTACCTGGCCTGTGTGTGTGTGTGTGGGGGGGGGCTACCTGGCCTGTGTGTGTGTGTGGGGGGGGGGCTACCTGGCCTGTGTGTGTGTGGGGGGGGGGGGCTACCTGGCCTGTGTGTGTGTGGGGGGGGGGGGCCTACCTGGCCTGTGTGTGTGTGGGGGGGGGGCCTACCTGGCCTGTGTGTGTGTGGGGGGGGGGCCTACCTGGCCTGTGTGTGTGTGTGTGTGGGGGGGGGCCTACCTGGCCTGTGTGTGTGTGTGGGGGGGGGGGCCTACCTGGCCTGTGTGTGTGTGGGGGGGGGGGCTACCTGGCCTGTGTGTGTGTGGGGGGGGGGGGCCTGCCTGGCCTGTGTGTGTGTGTGTGGGGCGGGGGGGGCCTACCTGGCCTGTGTGTGTGTGTGGGGGGGGGGGCTACCTGGCCTGTGTGTGTGTGGGGGCGGGGGGGCCTGCCTGGCCTGTGTGTGTGTGTGTGGGGGGGGGGGGGGGGGCTACCTGGCCTGTGTGTGTGTGGGGGGGGGGGGGCCTGCCTGGCCTGTGTGTGTGTGTGTGGGGGGGGGGGGGCCTACCTGGCCTGTGTGTGTGTGTGGGGGGGGGGCTACCTGGCCTGTGTGTGTGTGGGGCGGGGGGGGCTGCCTGGCCTGTGTGTGTGTGTGGGGGGGGGGCCTACCTGGCCTGTGTGTGTGTGGGGGGGGGGGGCTACCTGGCCTGTGTGTGTGTGTGGGGGGGGGGGGGGCCTACCTGGCCTGTGTGTGTGGGGGGGGGCCTACCTGGCCTGTGTGTGGTGTGTGTGGGGGGGGGGGGGCCTACCTGGCCTGTGTGTGTGGGTGGGGGGGGGGGGCTACCTGGCCTGTGTGTGTGTGTGTGGGGGGGGGGCTACCTGGCCTGTGTGTGGGGGGGGGGCTACCTGCCTGACCCCCTCCCCCCTCCCCCACCCCTCCCCCTCCCCCCCCCCCCCTCTCCCCCCCTCCCACCCCCACACCCCCTCTACTCTACACCCCCTCCCCCTCCCCTACACCCTCCCCCCACCCCTCCCCCTACACCCCCCTCCCTTCCCCCACACCCTCCTCTAACACCCCCTCCCTCTACACCTTCCCCACACCCCTCCTCTACACCCCTCTCCTCTACACCCTCTCCACAACCCCTCCCTCCTCTACACCCTCCCTCTTACACCCCCCCTCCCACACCCCCTCCTCTACACCCCCTCCCTCTCCCCTACACCCCCTTCCCACACCCCCTCCTCACACCCCTCCCTCTCCTCTACACCCCCTCCTCCACAACCCCTCCCCCTCTACACCCCCTCCCCCTCCTCTACACCCCCTCCCCCTCCTCTACACCCCCTCCCCCTCTACACCCCCTCCCCCTCACCCCCACACCCTCTCGCGCACACCCCCTCCCCACACTCCCTCCCTACACCTCCTCCCCCTCCCCCACACCCCTCCCCCTCCTCTACACCCCTTCCCCCTCCTCACCTCTCCCCCTCCTCTACACCCCCTCCCCCTCCTCTACACCCCCTCCCCCTCCTCTACACCCCCTCCCCCACACCCCTCCCCCTCCTCTACACCCCTTCCCCCTCCTCACCTCTCCCCCTCCTCTACACCCCCTCCCCCTCCTCTACACCCCCTCCCCCTCCTCTACAACCCTCCCCATCCTCTACACCCCCTCCCCCTCCTGTACACCCCCTTCCCTTCCTCTACACCCCCTCCCCCACTGCAACCTTCCCCCACTGCTCCCCCCTCCCCTCCCTCTACCCCCTCTACAGGATTTATTGTAAAGCGTTACGACTATATTTTGTGGGACGAGTGGGTTCTCCCAGATATCACGTGTCAGCTCCTCTCTGTGATCAGCTTAATAATTAATACTTTAGGATGTGCATCAAGACAGTAGAACGAGAGGACATAGTTTTAGGGTTGGCACACGGCCAACTTCAGGAAAGACACCAGGAAGTTTTTCTGTACATAACGCCAGGCAACATCAGCTAAGGACCGAGATGTGGAGAGACACGAGACATGCTGAACAGAACAACTTGCGATTTATATTGCGCTCCTCACGTGGGTCGCTTCTCAAAGCGCTTAGAAGAGAAACCTCTGCAGCAAACGGAAAGAATAACAGAAAAAATGCAAACTAAATGCTATTACTAAGCCGGTTTTCTTACTCTGCGTGCACTTGTTTACCTCGCAGTAAGTAAGTAAGAACCCGGTTGTTATTCAACTGGCGCATTGGTTTCCGGGGGTAATAATCTCTCACCCCAAAACAATTGGTCACTCACTCCACGAGTGTTTGTGGGACACTGCTGTGCACAATTGGCTGCCACGTTTCTGCCCCCAAATACACAGTCAGTCCATTTTACCATATATTCTGTGAAGCGCTTTGAGATGTCTGAACGACATGGTAAGGCAGTGTATCAAATGCAAGGATTATTATCATTCGAGATGTCTCAAAAGCGCTTCACAGGATATTCTGTAAAGTGAATTGACTGTATATTTTGTGGACGAAATCTACACATAACTTAATTCTTTGCCCTCTGATGTCTTCTCACACTCCGTCCCTGCACACGCTGGTGCCCTTGCCAGGCAGCTGCCCCACGCTTGGCTCCCACCCTCGAGCTGGCACAACTGAGATCAGGAACTTGCCATTTGGGAGCTTTGGTTGTCAGCCCACATTCTGCCACTCAGCAATTCAGTGCCTTGGTGTTCTGATGTGCTAAGTACATGCCATCTGTGTAACTAGCACTGTCACTGCCAGGCTCTGCATTGCTCTCTCAAGTTCTTTCCTCCTAATAGTTGGCAGGCGTCTTGAGAGCAAGCGATTCCCGCATACTAATGTTGGTAGCAGTGAGATCCTAAAGGGCAGAGTAACATAATGAAGGTGGTGTGAGTAGGAGAGGGTGGGGGAAGATACCAATAGAATTTTTTNGGTGAGCAAGTTTGCCCCTACTCACCCCTGTCCCCTTCCAGGTAATTTACAAATTAGCCCAATTATGTTCAATGTGAGTTGCCCACCAGGAAGCCCATACTCTTGTACACCCAAATCTGGGCCTCAAACTCACAAGCTCACGAGGAAATCAACGAGCCAGACTGACTTCTCCATTCGGGGACCTGTGTAAACCTAATCTTAGCCAAAAGGCAGCAAAATAACTGAATAAAACAGATACTACACTTGAGCCAAAAGACTGAGAAGCGATTAAATTATTGGTCTGTTTCGTCACCTTCTACTTTGAAAAGGCCAAGAGAGATGAGGCTTCAAAATCCCTTCAAAATAAATTTGGTCACTCAATCTACGACTGTTTGTGGGACACTGGATTTCGACCACAAACATATACAGTCAATTCACTTTACAGTATATTCTGTGAATCACTTTGAGACGTCTCGAAGACGTACTCAGGCGCTATACCAATTGCAAGGATTATTATTTTTAGCATTAAGATGGCTGGAAGCTGGTTTAATCACCACACTACCTTGTTGTTGTGAGTTAGTTTTTGGGAAAGCTTTGAACAGCGGAACTCAGCTCTGTGTTTAAATCTCATTGTGGGCAGTGCACTAAAGCCACCATATTAGCCCAGTGCCCCCCTTTTTTTGCTCCAGAGAGGACTTTCCTACCCCACTACTTTTCACTAGCAGTGGTTAATGACAGTGGTTGCCAAAAAATTGGCCACTGCATTACATGACCATTGGAAAAGAGGCATTTACAGATCTGGTTCCCCAAATACTGCCATCAGAGGAAATGATAGAAACTAACTGGGTAACTTGGATGATAGTATCCAGAGCAAATAGACTATTTGGCTTGAGAATTTTTTTGTTTGCCTCAGTTTGTGTTTCAACACTGTCATCTAGTGACCGTGATCTGCAACTTCTTTCAAAGTTTTTGGGAATGGTGCCTGAGGACAGCTGGTTCTTGGAGTGTAATAATAATCCTTGCATTTGATATAGAGCCTTATCATGTCCTCAAGATGTCTCAAAGAGCTTCGTACACACTAGTGATCGGATGTTTGAAAAGATATGGAGAAATATTGACTTGTATTTCTCTTTTCTAAATCATACCATCTGCAAATATTCTGCTATTGTATAATAGCTTTAAACTCACTCTTTATCTCTCCTGTTTCAGTTTATTCACTGGAATTTGATCCCCGTCCCAAACTATCCGCCACTAGGGCTTGGTTCATGGTTTTATAACACATGACGGGAAAAGGGAGTGACATGATTCTGTTTGTAAATCATGTTGTAAAAATGCCACCTTACAGGAAAAATATTTTACCTAGAAAATAGCAGAGTTTATTTTACCTGGTTAAAATACCCTGGTGTACCTTCTGAATGAATTATTGCCCACCACACATTGGGCAGGCAATTACCATATATTTGCCCGTTTTTTAGGAGGACATTAAAGATCACATCTAAATCAGATTTCCTACCTAACGAGAGCAGAGGGTTTCTCCTGACATCCTGGCCAACAGTCCTCAGGAATAGATTAGTCATTCATCTCATAACTGTGTGTAGGACCTGGCTGTAGTTAGAATGTCTGCCACTATTCTCTACAGAAACAGTCACTGCACTTGACAGTAATTTCTTGGAGACGTGATAAAGCTCTTTAAAATTACAAACTTCAGATCACTGGCATCCAGAGGGCAGTGTCTGAACGTCTTGAGGAGGGGCAAATTTCTAAGTTGGAATAGCAGATTGTCCCTTGGAATGACACCTGACTGACTAAACAGGAAAGCTCGATGGGCTGAATGACCTCTTCCACTTTCTGTTTTTCTGTATTTCCTAAGATTACAGTGCAGGAATTTTGATCACACTATCTGTTGGTGTATCTAACACGCTTATGAAGTCAAATTAGCTGCCACGTTTCGTCCACAAAATATACAGTCAATTCACTTTGCAATATATTCTGTGAAGCCCTTTGAGACTTCTCAACAACGTGATAAGCCGCTATATCAAATGCAAGGATTATTATTATTATCCTTTCAATTCTTCCTTTGGGATCTTGTAACCAGTAAAAACTGAATAAACAGTGCCACCTGCTGGTGAATTCTGATAATGTATCAATGTGGGTTCAGTTGGTCTGGAATGATTTATAGCATTATTAACAAGCTATTTATAATTGTGAGTTGATAATATCAATTAACGTAACAGCAGCAATCGTGCAATGGATTCTTTTTTCAGGCACGGAGCTGTCAGTTAAACCCATATGGCAAGGCAACATGAAAGTGGTCATCAAGTGTTTATAGCTATTATCAACACTTGTTTTATTAGTAGATTTACTGGAGGTAATTAACTTAACTACCTGATAAACCTGGCTTTGATTGAAGCAGTGGTTAATTCTGATACTGATCTGGGTTGGCTGATTTCACTTTTTATGTTAAAAATAATGGAGAGGTACAGTTTAACAATGGAGCCGTGATCCCACAATAAATCAACTTTGTGTTTAATGGCAGGCTGCTCGCTGAGACACAGAATAAGTAGGAGCTGACGGGCGATGTACAGAGTGTGTGGGTGTGATGCCAACTCCTACGGGACGAGGAAGTGAATGCAACCAGTGGTAACTTATTAAGTAGCCGAGAACAGTAGAAACTTTCACAATGTGCAGTCAGTATCACACTGCAGAGCAAAGTGTAACTTTTCCAATGCATGGTAACCTGGCACGGGTTCAATTTACTGTGCCTCACACATTAAACTTTGGATTCTCGCTGTGTAGCGAAAATATCAGCCCAGTTAACCCCTTCAGTGCTGCACCAGATACAAGGTGTTTTGGCTGGCACTGCTGTGTAGTGCTGTGGAGATGCTGGCCTTCTGATGAGCTGTTTAAACCAAGGTGCCACCTGCCTGTTCAAATGGATATCAAAGATCCCTTGAAATTCCAATATTTGAAAAGAGAAGGATGTTTCTCCCAGAAT